TCTACGAACAACATTACTTCTCGCACTAAATAATTCTATATCCGTGTTAGCTTACCGCACAGAGCCCCGTTTAGCCGTGCCAAAGTAAACTGCCATTTTTGTTGCTTTGTCAAAATAGATAGCAATTCAGGGGCAACACAAACGTTCCACTTCTGTGTTTTATAACTCACAGGAAATAAATAAGAAGGCCTGATGTGAGAGGGGGTCCTCATTTTGCGCAGCTATTTTAGTTTTCCGTCTCCATTCCCCATTAAAATGTTTATATATTATTTAATTTCCATTATTGTGTTTACCGAGTCATATCTAAACTCAACTTTAGGGCCCGTTCAACAAGACATTTCGTTCCAAATAGGGTTACGTGTGCTAATCTAGCCTGTGAAGGCAGGTAGCGCACAAATAAGTTATGGTTTGTATTAAAGAACATTTTCCCACTGTGTATTTTGCAACGATTGCACTCTCACGTGTTGCTTTAGGACGCATCAGTCACTGCCACCGCCTGCGTCATGAAAATAGCGAGTTTTCACAACCGGCGACGCGGTCTTCTACAACGCTAATCTTAGCGGGGGGTAGCACTTAGAGCGAAAATTTCTGCGTAGCGTACAAACCTTCGACGGTATTCAGCCGTCGGGAGTCGAGCTAGTACGGGATGGCGAGCTCATTTAAATACCCCGTATAGTCAGCACTTGCGCCGCCGTGCGAAAACTCGCTAATGACCTCTTATGGGGAACGGGAATATTGGTAGGGGCTGTTTGCACCTCCAGTCAATTCAATCTTCAATGTTTAGTCTACCTGACTGTCAGGCATTAATCAGTGTACCCCTCCATTTTCGTATCAGGATAATTGTCCCCAAGGCATTTTGCCCCCCTGAAAGTACCCCCTATTACAATTACGTCCCCCCAAGAAAACCAAGGACAATGAGACCCTCTCCCCTCGAAAGTTACCCCCTGTTCATTTAAGGGGAAGTTTACCCCGATGATGAGTTTGTCTAATTTCCGGAGGGTTATTATCCACGGGCAATTTTGTGGGAGGTAATTGTCCCGGTGGAAAGTTGCCGAGGCGGTAATTGTCCTAGAACCCCCATTTTTATTGGCAATGTAGAGTGTGCCTTCTGTGCTCATTTCGTGATGTCTGAATAGTATGCACGTTATACATTGCGTACTGCTGTTTACGTTCTCGTTAAGGTTATTCAATTCAAATCAATTCGAATTATCTTATTTCCATAGGTCAATAAAAACGTGAAAAAATGTAAAAATGAAATGAATATCAAATGACATGTGCAATATACATGGAAAATGAAAGTAAAAATGAAATTTCGATGTTCCCTGCTCTTCATGGAAACCAAATTGACAGTCAGTGAACACATAGTGGAGCTCTATAAGATTGTGAATATTCTGATGTAAATAATGCGTTGTAATATCTTTGAAATACCTTTAAGTAACGAAATAGTTCGATATTTGTTAGCATCATTTATTTGTCATCCTTTTTTTAAATCGGTATGACCTGTTTTATTTTCATGTTATCAGGCACATAGCCACAAGGCTATGGTAATATTAGGGTCACATATTTATAAACTAACACCGACTAAAGCGGACTGCAAAGTCCAAATCTTACAGTCAGACCATAAAAGCCTAATGATACAGAAAATAGTGCTAAGTCAAGTCTGACAGACATTAGCGCCATACAAGAACTCACTATCATTATTATTAAATATTTATATTCTATTCTATTCCATGGACAAATATTTGGGTGTACATGTATGCTCGTATTAACTACTAGTTCTTTATTTGTGCAATGTGAAAGCAAATGTATAGAAACATGTATATTATGTAGTGAGATACATTATAGACTTAAACATAAATATATTGGAAACAAACAAAAAATGATTCGCATGTGGCACCTGAACTTTTTTTTTTTTTTTTTTTTTTACTTCATCATCCAGAATACATTAATGATTATAATTCGTAACATGAACTCTTAATTACTATACGTAGATGACTGCATATAAATGTACAAATACAAGTATAGGATATTTCAGTCGTTGTCATGTTCATGCGTGGAGCCTATTTAGTCTTCATCATGAAAGTCTGAAACTAAAGAGAGAGATTATTTTTCTTTCATGCGATCAACCGTTGTTTCAAAGGCACCTCACATATTCATTTTAAAAACCCACTCATTTAACTTTGAAATTGATTTGATTTATTGATTTATTGATTGTTAATATTCATTAATAAAGAAAAGGTTTCAGTTTATAAACTATTCTGAGAGTGTTGGCAGCGTGACAACATGAAAACGATTACCTATTTCATTGATTTATTGATTTATTGATTGTTAATATTCATTAATAAAGAAAAGTTTTCAGTTTATAAACTATTCTGAGAGTGTTGGCAGCGTGACAACATGAAAACGATTACCTATTTCATTGTGTCTCTAATATCATATTTATTGAAATATCTATTTTTTCATGTTTGTATTTCTCTGCCCCAGGGGTTGGGGCCGTGATTATCATGATCATTGTTTTAGCCATTATGTATGTATGTGATTGATTGATTATTTGTATTTTATTCTGATTAATGTATGATTGATTTTGTCGACTTTGTTTTGTAAATAAAGAACATTGTGGAAGGGAAGAAAATATTACATATTCGCTGTGCAAGCACGTGACATGCCGAGATCTCCGCCAAGGCCAACATTAGATCAAGAACGAAATTTAACATAGGATGGTGTACGTATAACTTAGTTTTGTTATTATTGCTCTAAAACACTGCAATTTGTGTCCTCTAAGACTTTTGCATTATGTTTTGTGTCTTGAAAATTTTCTGAAATATAAAACACGAATATTGACAAACAAACATAAAATTTATGGACAAGTGCTAAGCACTATGGGAACAAATTATTTACTGTAATAAAATGAGTAGTGACACTCAGATCCCATAAATGAAAGACATTTTAATTGAGGATATAAAAACGTGAGCCTGAATTAGAAAATTATTACCGTATATGTAACGTACATTATATGGGAAAAAATATTGGCGTCTCAAAAAACATGTACATGTATGTGCAAGACTTTGTATCAAGTTTTTTGGTTCTTCTTGATGCGGATGGAACAGATAGCACTCTTAGGTAAATGCATTATGATTGCACATGAATATGAAAGTATAATCGTAAAGCACCTTAATTAAAGAAATGTAGTTGAATGTACTAAGTTTAATAAAATTGTGCTCATAAACACCGAAAGTATTTTGTTGTTGCTGTTGTTTTTATTGTTGTTTTTGTTTTATTTGCATATTGTTACTTTCATTATCATTATTACCAGTATTATTGTCACCATCATCATTCTATTACTACTACTACTACTACTACTACTATTACTACTACTACTACTGCTACTACTTCGAATATTGTTACTGGTATCTTGATCATCGTATTATGATGATCATTTGGGCCGATAGTCTGATTAGTTAAGAAGTAAATGCTTGTGCAAGACCCCCCCCCCCCCCCTCCCCACAAAAAAAAAAAAAAAATAGAAAAATAGAAAAGGAAATACATGTATTAATGAATTGTATGATATATTTAGATTATCGGAAGAAGAAATGCGCTTACAACTAGAAGGGAATGAGTTGCCTTGCCTGTGTGTTATTAAAATAACAAAATAGTTAAGAAGTTAAACGTAGCTGAACAATATATTATCATTAGAGGTAGTGTGTTTCTTTAATTGAAAAAGAAAAAAAAAAATATATCTAATGTAGTTTATCATAAGATAATCCCTTTTTTCTATTACATATGACGCCATATTTGTGGTAATAGAGTTTGGAGTTATTGAACTCTGAAAGAAAAACAATTTGTGTAGTCAGTAATGTAAAAAGGGCCTACAGAGTGGAATCTAAGAAATGGCCAACAACTTCAAGCTCTCCTTGATTGATTTTTTTATTCTTCAATCTCAATGGAGATAATCAATTACCTTAATAACACTTTAAGGTTGCAATGTTCGCTATTAGGCAGCTTAGTGAAACATATTTCATCTTCTTTGTTTTAAAACTTGTATGTTTGTTAGTTGTTGTTTTTTCTTTATCTTTCATTTCATTTTATAATATCATTTGGTATCAAAATAAGGAATTGATTATCGACAAGCATTGCAGGACATAATAATTTTCTTAGTTTGCCTATTTAATGTGAAAATGTGGGCTTCTGGATTTTTCCTTCTTTTCATACTCTCGTTTGTCTTTCTTTATTTCTTTTTTGCGTCTCATTATATTTATCGAAATCTCACTTTGTAACTATTTTGAGCAGTTGTAGCTCGCATTGCTATTTCTATCTCTCTCTCTCTCTCTCTCTCTCTCTATATATATATATATATATCTCCTCTAATCTTGCCATATGATATTGTCGAAGAGGAACCTTGATTTCAACTTTATACATTCGTTTCCCTCACCAATCACTATACATGTATAAACATATGAATATACATATAGTATAAATTATAAATAAGAAAGAAGAGGGGTAAAATTATCAAAAGAGACAGAGAGAGAGTGAGATTGTATAGGCCTATAAAGTCCCGTCTTCGGTTTCCCCTTCTGAAGTTCTTTGCTGTTTCCTCTCTTCCCCATCATCCTATTCGGCTATTGACATTTGTATATTGCTCGATTTTCAGTTGATTGCTTCCAATGTACCCACATAGATGTAGCATTATCAGTTGATTGACTTAGAAATGTCAAAAATGATAACACTTCCAAAGTCTAAAAGTTGGTCAACCTTGACTAAAGACTCATTATGTTAACAACAGAACAATAGCAACACTGATCAAACGCGTTAAGCCTACGGGCAGACTATTTTGTTTAAAGAGCCTTTTGTGAAAGAATAGCCATTGATCCTCTGCACACGTACACCCAGAGTTCTGTGTATGTAAATTTGTTCATGCGTCCCCGCACCATGGTAACCGGTAAGCCCCTTCGTTGACACTGCAAATGTACTAGCCTTTGTGTGCTTGTGTACGCAGGGCGAGGGGTAAGCGAAAAGGCTGGTGCGGTAGCTACAGCGTGTTGGTCTAGCTAGTCTATGCATACACACGGATGGAGTTCGGCAATAGTATCACAAGGCATCGGTAACAAAACACCTGTTGAGCTTCAAAGAGCTGCACAGTCATTACATTACCCTCACTTGACATTCGTAACCTAGGCTGAGAGAGACAAAACACTGTTCGACCTTAGTCACCTTATATAATACAGAAAGGATATGAGCTGAAATCCTTCGGAAGGAAGGGGATATTTATTTCCAAAAGCAGAATAATGAAGAATTTGATTTAGCAAGTCTTGCATTTATCTTGTACGAGGCCATCATGTCCCATCTGCGCTCCGAAATATCCAATATTCTGAATATTGATGGGATGTTTTCTGCTGGTGGAACCTGCCCGAAAGCAAAGGTAAGATTACACTATAAAGGATTTTACTTATTAAAACTTCTCCTCCCCCTCCGTAGTTTTTTACTACCACTATAAATTACTACTACTACTTTCATCACCACTATTACTATTTCTACTACTTTATTATCATTATTGTCTGCCCCTCTCACTCTTTTTTTTTCCTTCTCCTCCTCCTAATCCCCCTCATCTTCCTCTCATTCCTCGCTATCATCATCATCTATTCCACCACCACTGTCATCATCACCAGCATCGTTATCATTTCCCTCATATTTGCAATTTATTATAAACAATGTTTCATGCGGCTTCATCATACATAAGTGATCGTATTCCCTACTCCTTTCCTTCTCCTAGTTCTCTTTTACTTATTATTCTCTCTTTAACTTTCCATGCATTACGTGGACGTACATGTATACGCGCAAATCAAACATACACTTTAATTTGAGACGTTGGGTAATCCATTAACTACATACTAGATCAACTATGTCATACTAATTATTCCGTATGTTAGAGGCCTATAATGCATTCACTTTATATTTGTGATGGGAAAGACGAATATAGGAGGTATAAGTAAAAGTATGGACTGTAATTATCTAGGCCCACAGAGTTTCTCCCTTTGCTTACACTTTTAAAGATACTACAGTATATGTACCTTTTGCAGCCAACATCAAATGAAGTAGAATTTTGCAGGAATTATGAATATGTCATGCATGTCCTATCTATTGTTTTGATCTGCAAATGGGACATGTACCTTTAACATAATAATTGTGTACATCGTCTCATAATATGGTTTAATCATGTTGATAAAGACACATTGTTGTGATGTTATATGCATGCAAAGAAGGCTTTGATTTGGTTCAATTCCCTCCTGTTGCCATCACCAGTGAACATCAACAACGCAGTTGTGTTCATGTCAATATTTGCTATTGACTCATTATTACATGTTATGTGAGGACCGCTCTAAATGTCTTTTTATTATACCATTGATAACAGTTTATAGTTCTTTAATCTATAACATATTACCTCTGTGTATGACTTATTAAACATGAGTCAATGTCCACCTAAGTCCTATTTTCTAAAAGAGATTCATTTCCTTCTAAGAGTTAATAACAACACGGCCAGCTGTTTTCTCTTCTCTATAATTAAAAACAAAAACTAAAATTGATGATACACATCAACGGCTGAACAGTATTATTTTTAAACTCCCTTAGCATTAGCACACAGCGCAGTATCCTAGGATAAATGCACCATGCTGCAACCTCGCAACTATTAATTCACCTCCGGGAAGAAAGCTGTAGAATAGGCCAGTATCGTAATATAATTTAATGGCTAGTTGGTAATGATTCCCAAATGGGCTGTTTTCGTAATGTAATCAAATTTAGTGCATACATCTTTGTGAAGTGCCTTCATGCAAATTATTTCTTTCACCTGTTAGATATGATTATATTTCAATAGTCAGAATGCGAATTACATACAATGATTGTTGCTTACAACACGTAATGTAAGCAATATGCAATAAGTACAATTATTAAAAGGTAAATTAAATAATCTGTAACGAGGCACTTAACAAAGACGTATATATTAAAGAGGATTACATTGAGAAAATGTCTTATTGAGAAATCATTCCAAACTAGTTATCTGTCTCTTAAGCAATCGTATCAATGTGAGAGTAGAAAATAAATGAAATACGATCAAAGAGTGAAAGTATTGCCTTACAACGGGTAGGGAATAATACAATAACATTTCTATCGAACGAAATGGTTAGGAATATCAAACAGGTAATAATTGTGCACAAAGAGATAATATTTCATGATTATGTATTATTCTTGATTTTCAGACCACGCGGGAGACGGACGTCCACAAACCCGTATCTGACCCGGGCCCTTTCACCCCACGGGACCCTCCTCTGCCAAGTACCCCACAACCCTTCGCAGTCATCAGTGAACATTGGTCTGACAGGCTCCAACTCCCGCTTTATGACGAGAATGACATGTTCAGCTTCGGGAAGGTTTACGAAGACGCCATGTACAAGCTAATCCACAAACACCTCGAGCTTGACACCCACGATCGGTTTGCGTACGTCGGCAACAGCAAAGGCAGCTTCGCGGAAAAGCTTAAGGAAAAGTTCTGCTTACTTCAACCCATGGTTAACATTTACCCCGGGTTGATTCACTACGAGGAAACTAGCAACCAGAGAATGTTGCCGTTTAAGATCAAACATGTGGGCGCTGAGGAGTACTTTCGGCAGCTGTCGATAGATTTAGAAGAAGGCAAGAAAGATGCGCCATTTGATAAGATGATGCTGAAAGACGCTTGTGAACATTTTACGAATCCGGAGGAGACATTTGCGCATATTATGAGAACGATTTCTTCATCAGGAAAAGTCCTAATTATTCATCGGCCAGGACCTATGAATACGCTACCTTTATTTTCAGAAGCAAATAGACGTCTAGCCGAAGAAGATAACGATGAACCCTACACGAAACTAATAAAAAACTTGCAGCGTATCCGAGTCGACGTTCGATGGGAAATCGAGACGCTGCCGATCGTCATGCCGAAAGCAAAATGGCTAGCTATGCTACAGAAGAAGTTCCCACCACAAATGGAGATTGCTAGCCAAGGGCAAGTGCAACAGGGTGTACGCGAATTGACAGAAGGGATGCTGAAATATGCGGGAGAAACGGTCGAATTCTATGACCGTCTCCTGTTTATCACTGCCTGTCATCCTATGGTCGACAGTGGATATCCGAGTGTCCAGAGAAGCGGCGCACCAGCAATGCAACCATACCCGGGATTGCTGAATCAGAAATACACCTTGACCGTCACTCCAGATATCTACAAACATTTACGAGATTTGGAGAAGAAACCGGCTGAAAAGAAGAAGATTATCAGGTGATGACGTAAGGATGATAACATCATTATATTTCCTTTCTTTGGTGTACTTTTTGCTACAGCATGTCGATAGAATGTAAAAATATCAAATGGAAAAAAACGTCCATGATTCATAAAGAAAACACCAAAATACCAACAATTTTCCATATTTTTGAAATTCGAATCGCCAAATGTCTTTAAAGCAATATAGGTGTATTTTTTTTAATTAGTAAGGGACTTCTAATCTAAAGATAAAAATGATACTATTTAGTACACGCACAAATTGCTTCTCAAAATGACAGGAAATACAAATGCATTTGTCTCTCTTAAACTCCACTCCAAATAAATGAAAGTATCGTTATGTTGTTTGGAAAATTTCACTGTTGAAATCATTGTCTGTGTCTTCAATGAAAATTAAAAACATTGCAATCATTTTTTCAAGTCAAATGGCATTTACAATTTAGTATCAAGGGTACATATTCTTACTTAGAGTAAAAACAGTAAGCTTCGAAATCCAGGTGAGATCATTGTAAGATCAACTGTAAGATTTTGACGTTATTTTTACATAAATAAATCTATTGCCGACCCATAGATTTTTTCACCGAAAACACTTAAAAATAATTCACTTTCTCTCTTTGAATAAAATTACAGGACATAAAATGAAAACAAAAAATAGACGTGTTTACTGATTTTATACATATTTCTTGAACCAAAGTTACTCTAGACGACTAACAAGCTTGAATGGGGCTTTCTACGACATAGACATTAGGTATGCAAAGTGAATTACATTAATAGAAATACCACTTTGCGTAGCAAGTGAATTAAATAATTGGTAACCGAGGATTTGGGAGTGAAACATACATAAATGTAATAACATTAGTAAACGGGTCTATTGACTTACTAGGTAAATCAGCAATGTCATAAAGAAATTAGTGAAATCAATGAGTGTCCCGGAGATGATAGATACATTTACAATCATTAGTGACAATGAAGATTCTTTATCACTCAAGTGAACGTGAACATCTGCTGCTTTTTAACATAGAGAATCAATAACGATCCATATGACGAATGAACAAATGCGATTGATTAAAAGACAGAGTGAGGATTTGATTCATTTGAAGCCATGAATTCAGCGGGGTCAAAGGTCAAATTTATTATTCTTTCTTTACATGTGAAGGTCTAACCTACATGTATCTCATTAAATAGTTTGCGGACCAGCATACTTATATAAATTATATAGAATTTAATGGTGTGATGAGGATTGCTTGAAAGATCTTATCAAGTGAGAAATCAATCATTCATGATCTTATTAATAGGTCATTTTCGTAAAGAAATCAACTTTAAAATCAAAATGCTTTTTACAAATTATATCATTCACCAGGTGAATCAACTATTTGTAACATTGCACGTAACAAAGATTGATACACTTCATGTGATTACATTACGAAAGTGGCCTATTGAGAAAGCAAACATGGTATGAATTGTGATATCTACGTATGACTTTTAAAAAAAATCATGTATTTCTAAAAATCCATCACCAATGCTAAATAAATCGTTCGTTTTTCTACGAACAACAACAAATGTTTTATCGAGTTATTGAATATGTCTTAGTATTTATCATTGTTATGAATTTAGGTTATTAGCGGGTCGATTCGTTCACGTTGAGTTTTTCCCGTTACATCAGATATAATCTGTATTTTACCTGTATAACAAAAAGCTGCAGGTTTCAAAATCCGTCCAACCTTCATTGTCACCATTCAAAAATGTAATATTTACTTCCATATCTTTGTGTGGAGTAAAAGAATAATTAGTATCGTATCATATGTTTTTTTTTCTTGTTACAAAAAGCTGCAGATTTCAAAATCCGTCCAACTGTCATTATTTCATGTTAAAGAAGGTGTATATTTCAGAAAATTGATATTTTTGCTATATTGAGCTCACTTACACGTACATCGATTGGCAAGATTTTTGTAATTGTTTTATTGATATTTTGTGCAAACTATTTCCATGAGCAGAACACGTACATGAGTTTGATCAAATTTATAATTGTAATCCAGTATTCCTATTGTGCAATCAATGCTGAACTGTGTGTGTGTGTAAAAATACCTGTAAAGGCTTCTCTATATTTTGTTATCTCTTATAGCAAACCTCCCTCTGTTGATATTTTTTGTATATATATTATGTTTGCAGTTCGAATTTACGAATGTCTTGATTATAGCATCCACAGAAGTGAACTACTGAATCAGTAATGGTTTATTGCTAACACCCGTGAAGCCGGCGGAAACGTTTAGTTTGCTAAAGTGTTTTTGAAAAACACGGGCCAATTGAAACCCGACGCTGGGCTTAATGTTCAACTCGAGTTTAACAAAGGACAATCTAAGGTCAAAGATTTCCTTTGTCACGCCTGATCATAGACCCATTTTCGGGTTTTTAAAACTGAATTATTAAAATACGACCATAGTCCATAGAGTTTAATGTTGCTGATATTAAAAGCCTTGCTGGGGGAACATTTTATGGCTCAATTTGAAACGATTCTCAGTGTATGAATCTCATTGTAGAGATACCGTTTGCGAGAACTCTCTGTGTCGTTATAGTAAACACTTTCCAACTGTAGAAGTACACAATTAATATTTAACGACTCTTACATGTTTTATGGTTTTTAAAACATGAATCAGACACAAATAAATAAGTGAAGAAGTAAAGCCTCACATCTGGCTGATGTCTGGCTCATAAGCAACACATTTTGAGCAACGTGATCCCATTTATAAGTAATATCCATGAAGTAAAACGATAATTGTTTCATCACCTTTTTGGAAATGATACTGATATTTGCAATAATTATTAGAATGTTAATGTTGACTCATGTACTAGTCTCAATATAAGAGACATCCTTTGCTATAGTAAGTGATAAGTGTGCTCTCTGATTTTGACATTGGGGTCTTTTAATGCGTTTGAATTTGTTTTTGATTTGCAATACGAAGAGAGAAGCCCACATTCCAAGGTTTTATTGTTTGTTTTCTCTTATGGCATTAACATGTATAACTATTTGATCATTTTTTTTTCATTCAATAAAATAGATTATATATCACTTTGGAAATGTATTAGTGCTCTCATTTTTCAGTTGATTTACTTCAGCGTTACTGTTATTTAATAACTGTGGGGTTTTATTATTTTTTTGTTTGACTCATTAAAATAACAGATACGTGGTTTATTTCGTTCCATCGGGTCTTCGCATCGCGTTGGGATACACGAACTTCCGTGAAAGTTTCTGCCTTTACGTTGCAGAAATATATCGCTTTTTATCTGAAAGACTCTACAGCAAATCTACGAGAACTCGCATCTCGAACCAACGTAGTTTAATACCAGATAAATAAATTGGATGGGCATGTTTTCATAAGTGTACTGGCAAAAAGCTTGGCCTATTCTTAAAGAACATCTTTGAAAAAAATGGTATTGTTTGAACTCATTTCACTCAACAATTTGTGAATATAGGGACACGCTTTCACAAAGGGTCGCCTAACCCGACAATGTGACGCGCCCGACCTTTTGTAAATATGGGGTATGTTTTCACAAAAGTTTGTGTAATCTGACGACCCGACCCAACGTAAATATCAGTAGGTACTTAGTAAACCTAAAAGAAGCCTTTTTTTAATGCCACGAATATGATTGTGACCGTTAACACTAATACTTATAACGATCTTAAAGTAGTACAAACCATTTGGTGACCTCATCTATTTTCCAATCATGATTTATATTATAAGTCAACCAAATAGATGCTATAAAGGTTGCATGTTACGATAAAAAATGAAAGCAATATACCAGTTCGTAGATACAATCTGTGCATGCGCGGATTGATCTGCGCATGCGCAGATAAAGGTCACTTGAACAAAATTTTAAAACCCACTGAGACTAATACTGGATACATGCTCACGAAGGTTATGTAATCATTGCTCATGCATGCACCTGTGATGCATTCTATTGAACACAGGTGTAAGTAATCTTTTCAAGAAGGCAAACAAAGAATCACTTCCATGACTTTAGCTGTGATTATTCCAAGAGGCACAAAGTTGGATTTATCTATGTTTAAAAGATATGTGGATATTTGGGGTCATATTACCCATGTGCTAACTACGAACTAGTCTATTGTGTTTTGATATCACAACAAGTCGTAGTATATAAAGAGAGGCGGGTTCATTGATTCAAGTGGTTCTACAGAACAGCCTGTGTAATTAAAATCCCAATGAAACCAAATTTAGCATTTCATCCTATAATAACTTAACTATTTCCGCACGTATCAGGCTTGGTATGGGATATGAAGCAGGTTCCAATTAACCCTACTTAGCCCTACTTGAAGTGAACTTTATAATGAAGCATACTAATAGATGACGCTACCTGTACCAAGCACCGCGCAACCATAGAAACGAGATTTGGTGCACGATGTTATGATGACAGGTGATGAATTACGTACACATTGATTTGAATAATTAATGAAGTGCCAGACGGTAAACTCACTATATCATTGTGTGCGGATATTGAGAATTGATAATTACCCTTTCCTCCTTTGGGCGAGATATCAATTATAGAGTACGGCCCTATACAGTTGTTAGCGTCAAGAAAACCGATTCGACCAACCAATTTGTCCTCCGATCAAGATATTTAATATTTCCATTTTATTAAATTAGCATTAATTCTTCCACTATTAAACTGGTATAAAAAGAGGCCTCTGGGAAAAAATAAAATAGAAACAATATTTAACCAAAAAAAGTGTAAAGAAACAGGACAACAGCAGAAATGAAACATAATTTATACATTAATCGAATGACCCTTTTTGTATATAATCTTAAATTTTACATTGACATAATCATGAAATATTTCAATATGTTATATAAAGACATGAAGTGACAGTAGAGTAGAGTGTGAGCAGTAGAGTGTGAGATATTGATAAGGCTAAAAAAATATGATTCCTAATAAAAGAAAATGATGAGAGGTTCCATTTAATCGATATTTTGTCTGTACAAAAAGTATGGATACATTTCAACATTCTTTAAATGAAATTCTAAAGGTATATGCACGTAGAAATTCAAAAGATTGTAACATTTCTTTCTTTCAATGGTTTGCGTTATCTCACTCTTTAGAAGGGCTCAGATTTTGTCTCGGAACAAAAATAAGAAGAGACCAACAACAAAAAAGGAGGCAGGCGAAAAAGGGAAGGAGGAAGGGACGATCAACTACGAATTAATTTCGTATGGCCTTAGGACGAGAATATGGAGATTGAAGAAGGGGTGGTAGAGAGATTGGGAAAGGATGTGGAGAGAAAGAGAGGGAAACGTATCATTTACAGGCAGGATAATGTACTGACATCGCTACCACTGCTGTTATGTATTTTCAATCACTTCATCTTTCGTATTCCTGTACCCAAGCTTCATCACGTGCGCGTCATCGGTTGGTGATGCATTGTTGGACATTGCTGTCGAAACATTGGAACATATATAGTGAGCAGCAGATGGCAGTATACGTAAATCTGAAGCAGTTTGAGTAAAATACCATGCCTTTATTGGTTTAATCTAGCCTACATTTACACTTTTAAAACACAGGATAACTGGGTAATAGACAAACACGAGTGAGATTTCAATATTTCAAGATTGAACTTTTTGCCTAAATGTACAAGAGTAGAAAACCACATCTTAAAAGTCATGTTATGAACATCATTGCTTTGGAGTGGGTTCAACTTCAAAACAAAATGCTCCCTAATTTCACTCCTAAAAGAGTGGATTTCCACCCCTCTCCATAAGTTGATACCAGCAACATGAATACAAGTGTGTTAAATTTCTGATAATATGCTACGTTTACACTATGTTCCCGGCGACCACGGCAGCCCCGTTTGCCCGAAACGTAGTGCGCCGTGGGATTTTGGCAATATTTTTCTCTGTGTTCAAGTTTTGTTAGGTCTTGTCATGTTTTCTCACGGTCTTTCACGGTATCCGTGACGGGCCGTGCGGGGAAAGGGGCTGCTGACTCCCGGAGGCTCCAAGGCGCACTACGGTTCGGCCCCGGTCTACCACGGATGCTAGTACATTCCCTCCCGGTCCGTCACGTTCTGATGGGGTCCCTCACGTTCTAATGGGGTCCCTCACGCTTCTCACGTTCTGATCAAGGTCTGGCACGTTTTTCACGTTCTGTCAAGGCTTTCTACGGATGAAACGTGGACGCCGGGCAGCTTTGGAGCACGGTTGTGCCCACGGCAAAAAAAAGAAGGCCTCCAAAGCAATAAAGTACAGCGTATGATGCTGCTGGAGGAAGTCAATGATTAACTCCTTCTCATCCTCCGTAAAGGTGGTGCCGACCCTAGGGGCTGCCCTCCTCCTAGCTGGTGCGTCTTCCTCAGCCTTCCCAGCCTCCTCAGCCTCAGGTTCAGGTTCCAGTTCAGGGACCGGGTCAGCAGCAGCAGAATGCTCCTCTACTACTGGTGGTGGTGGTGGTGGTGGTGGTACAGGACGGAGGGCCTTCGAACGTCTTGGCTTCATCGGTGGCATAGCTTGACTTTCTTTCTTCGTATTGTAGATGAAGTAATGTGTCGTCGATTGCTCAAACTCGAATGAAGCTCCTGCCGCGCCCATCTTTTATATACTACCTCCCGACCGTGTGCGCCGTGTCAGAACGCAACGCGCCGCGCCCGTAAACCGTCAGACGCCAGGATGCACCATGATTAAACGCGACAAAATGGCTACCATACACCCTGGCCTGCCGGCAGAACCCTGGCAAACCGTGGCAAAACGGGACAAAATGCGCAGCAACCGTGAAGCAACCGTGACAAAACGTGCACTAAACGTGGCAGAACGTAACAAAACTTGAAAAGACCGTAAGTTGCCGGGGAATGTGCGGGCTTCCCGTCCCACTACGGACCACCTCCAAGTTATGTTACGGCCTATTAAGGACTGTCACGTTGTGTTACGTTCACCCCGTTTTACTACGGCCTACTAGGTTTCTCATCCGCATCGTGACTGCCGTGGCAAATTTTTTGACGGTTTAAAAATCTGACACGGTATCCACGGCAATCACGGCCTGTCACGTTCGCCCATACGGTCCCCCGCGTTGTGTCACGTCAATCCCGTTTCGTCCACGATGGCCCGAAACGGGGTTGCCGTGGGCGCCGGGAACATAGTGTAAACGTAGCATTACGAGGTATCAACGGCAACTCTTCACCATGATAAGTGCATTAATGATCATTATACACATAAACAAATATTGTGAGGAATAAGATTTACGTGTATTTATGTTCATTTAGGGGATTTTAAACTTCGGGGCTTTGATGTTCTCGCATTTTCTTGTTCATGTACATGTCTGGTGATTTAGGATGTTTGTGGGGTTTGTGGTGAGGGCTTCCAGAATTTTTCGAGGGGACTTGAGAAATGTAGGCGGATGGAGAATATGGAAGAAAAAACACTACATGTACAAACTGGATTCAAGATTCAAAATTTCTTTTATTCAATGCTCGCAATCTTTACCGTTGAATTGATACTGAATCTACACGATTACAAAAACATATACAAATTACAAACAGAGGGAACTAAAAGAGATCCAAGTAAAGTACTCGAAGGTGTATACGAATTGCGAATCGCGAATTGGAAACCATGGGAATTTCATTTAAATTGAAACCATTGTTTGAAAGTAGTTTTAAAAATATAGAATCAACGAATCAGGAAATTTTAAATATAAAGACTATTTAATCATGACTGCCAATTTTGTTCATCGTTGAATATGCATATATTGTGAATAAAGAAAATAAATGCTCTGTTTCAATTACATAATGTCGCACAACAGAAATTGAATGATTAAAAGAACATTTCAGCAAAAGCTACTTCACCAATTGATTAGAAGCTGGCAAAGACAATGTACTAAGCCGATCATGTACTCCACAGAGATTGACGTGACATAAATGGGGACAAAAAAGAAGCAACTATTCATCAGTATCACCATGCAGTGAAGAACATTGTGTAAAAATTCACTGGTAAATATTACGGAATACAGCAAGGAGAAGAAGAAGAAGAGATAATTCTAAAAATGTGTATTTACATTAATTGGCAGAACAAGAAGAGC